TGCACACACCCACACACACCTGAACAAGCACGCACACCCACATACTAAAACCTACCGTTCCCCAGCATGCGTGTGAATATCACTACCCAATCACAGCACAACAAGGAAGACGCCGGAGAATGTAAAAAAAAAAAAAAAAACACGAATCTACAATGAGTTTTTTTTTTCGATAATCACTCTCCACAGGACCTCCTGGTTTGAAAATCCTCGACCGATGAAGAAATTCACAGCAAGAGGCGAAATGTCGATTTACAGGAGGGAGATACGAGGCAATTATTCCTACGTTACGAAAGGAGGGGAGATAGAGAGGCGAGAGGACAAGAATGAATGGGAAGATGATAAACAGATGATTGTAGAGAATGATAGCTAGGAAAAAAATGAATGGTTAGAGAGGAAGGGAAAGGGGTAGAGGAAGGGGGAGGGGAGAGAGAGACGGAGATGGAGATGAGAGATAGATAGGTACAGAGAGAGAGAGAGAGAGAAAGAGAGAGAGAGAGAGAGAGAGAGAGAGAGAGAGAGAGAGAAAGAGAGAGAGAGAGAGAGAGAGAGAGAGAGAGAGAGAGAGAGAGAGGAGGGAGGGGAGGGGGAGGGAAGGCGTGAGCAAGGGGGAGGAATAGAGATAGATAGATAGAGAGAAAGAAAGAGAAAGAGAAAAAGAGAGAGAAAGGGGAAAGGTTAGGGAGTGAGAATAAAATTATTAAAAGAAAGAAAAAAAGAGAGATAGAAAAGAAAACTTGAGAAGAGGATAAAAAAAACAATGAAATAACAAGGAAAGAAAACTGGAGAGACGGGAGATGAACAGGCGAAGGGAGAAGGGAGGAAGTGAGGGAGGAGAAAGGAAGGTTGGAGGCTGCTGGACGGAGGGAGGAGAGAGATGGGGGGGAGGGGGAGGGGGAAGGGGGGGAGGGAACACCAGCCGACCATCCCTTGCGAAACTCCTTCCCTAATTTAACTCCTAAAACCCTCGTGACTTTTTTTTTTCCTAAATCGAAAATTCACTTTCACTTTGTCCTGTAATATTTCATTTCCGTTTTTTTCTGTTTTCATCATTCGAAGAAAAGGGAAAACAATGGTCAATCTGTACTTTTATTTCTTTATCGTTTTATGTGTTTATAACTTCGTCATACAACCCCATTTTAAAAAGACTTTGATAAAAATAAATGGAAATGATAATAGGACGAAAAACTGATAACAATAAGAAAAAAATTAAACATATTAACAAAAAAAAAAAAACTTTCAACATCAACGCAATTCAAAAACATCCTCCCCCCTTAAGAAAATGGAAAAGAGAATGAACAAAACAAACTAAAATGAAATAAAAGTCCTTGACTCTTCGCCAACGAAGCACGAAGGAATTTCCTATTATCCTTTAACGCGAAAAGGAAAAGAGAGAGAGAGAGAGAGAGAGAGAGAGAGAGAGAGAGAGAGAGAGAGAGAGAGAGAGAGAGAGAGAGAGAGAGAGAGAGAGAGAGAGAGAGAGAGAGGAGAGGAAGGGAGAGAAAGAGAAAGAGAGGGGGGGAGGGAGAGAGAAAGAGAGAGAGGGGAAGGGAGAGAGAGAGAGAAAGATAGGCAGAGAGAGACAGACGGAGAGAGAGAGGGGGGGGTGAAGAGAAAGAGAGGGAGAGGGAGAGAAAGAAAGAGACAGACAGACAGACAGACAGACAGACAGAGAAAAATAAAAAGATAGAGAAAGAGAGAAAGAGAGAGAGAGAGAGGGTGAAGACGAGAAGAGACGAGAGTGAAAGTGAGAATAAGAAACGCCCATAAAACGGAGAAGGAAAAATACGAGGTCCCTGATAGCGTTCCCTCAGGCTCCCCCAGGATCTGGTCGCCTGTTCCTCGCCGTCAGGGATTTGTCGAAGCGTCGCGTTTGGATTGGGGATTGGGATTGGTCGGGGGTCGGCTCCTGCTCCTCGTGGGGGCTGTCGCGCGAATGTGTTTGTTAGCTTTTGTTTTTGTTGTGGAAATGTGTTTGTTAGCTTTTGTTTTTGTTGTGGAAATGTGTTTGTTAGCTTTTGTTTTTGTTGTGGAAATGTGTTTGTTATCTTTTGTTTTTTGTTTCTTTTGTTGTGCAAATGTGTTCGTTTCTTTGTTTTGTTTTTTTTGTTTTTGTGCAAATGCGTTCGTTTCTGTTTGTTTGTTTGTATTGATTTTTTTGTTTTGTTTTTTAGAATATGTTCGTTTCTTTGTTTTTGTTGTTGTGCAAATGTGTTCGTTTCTTTTTTTGTTGTTGTCTTTTTAAGAATGTGTTCGTTTCTTTGATTTTGTTGCTGTGCAAATGTGTTCGTTTCTTTGTTCTTCTGTTTTTTTTTTGTTTTTTTTTAGAATGTGTTCGTTTCTTTGTTTGTTTGTTTTGAGAATGTGTTCGTTTCTTTGTTCTGTTTTTGTGAGAATGTGTTCGTTTCTCTTTTGTTGTTGTCGTACAGATGTGTTTTATTCTTTGTTTGAAATGTATTCGTTTCTATGTTACTGTTGTTGTTTTTTTCCGGGAAGGGAAAGA